AAAAAAAAAAAAATGGGTTGGTAGCTCTCTCTACCTACATAGGACTTGTTGGCTCATGTTGCATTGTAGTGATTTGCTGTGTCAAGTTGCTGGGGGCAGTGTCCAAATAAGGGTTTGTTCTCTGTGGCTATTCAGTTGTGCAGGAATAGAAACCTCCTTGTTCCTATGGAGAGATTAGATGCAAGGCATTTAGTTCCATCCTTGAGTTGGAGGTAGAGGTCTGCATCGGCCCCTCTCGCATGCTCGCTAAACTGTGGGGTTTGAGTGTATAGGCTTTGGGTTCCATATACTCTTCAGGTGTTGGCTTCTTGCCTGTAATGCCAATTAATGCTCTCTGATTTTGTTCCCTTTTTAGTATAGTCTCAGGAGGGATAGATTATTAATGCGTGGCCAACCTGTCATCATTTATGATCTTGAGTTAGTTTGGGTAGACTAGAGAAACAAATCCATGGACACACACACATGTATATAAGAAAGAGATTTATATACAAGAGGAATTGAGCATTGAGAAAGCATCCCAACCCAGTCCAGTCCAAGTCCCTAAGTCTGATACTAGCCCATATGTCCGATACCAATCTATAAAGCCCGCTTGAGACTCACGAAACACATGCAATGATGCCAAATACAAGACGATCACAGGCCAGTGGGTAGAAAGTCTTTGGATCCAGTGGCGTTGTAAGCATCTCAGCACTGGCAGGGGTCTCTTAGTGGCTTCTCTGGCTACAGAGATCTGGTTGCATCAGGGTAGGTCCATGTGTATTCTCCAACTTAGGGCACTAGCTGGTTCCATGTATCTTATCAGTTGCAATGTCTCCCAGGGAGTGGCAGAGAGAGAAGTGTCTTCGTCTCCAAGGAGGAAGTACTGGATTTCCCAGAATTCTCAGGAGAAGGCCATGCCCACACAGAGGCCTCATTGGCTATGGTCTGATTGACAAGCTAGACTCCACCCCTATACTCTTAATCCTCAAATTGATAAACGATTATATATCTACCATAGATCTGTTGCGGTTTTTCGGGTGGAAATGAAAGGGTTAGAGTTAGGAATTGCACTAATCCCTGCTATACTCACTGGTAAGTCATTCATGTGTACAACTTCTGAGGTGAAGGACAAGCTGGAAATTACTTCTTTATAATACAGTAGTTGTATGTAACCTCTCTATTGCTTATTTGTTTCCTTCATGGTAGTTACTAAAAAGTTAATATTTGATATATTTGTTGAATTTGTTTATATTATAGGGTATCAACTTGATGAGTTTTTATATTGGCCAGTGTCTTTCTAAAAGTTTTTCATTTACTCCAGTATTTTGTGCAGTGAATTTTTGGTCCCTTGAGATATAATAATACAAATAAAATTATATATACAAAACTAAAATTTCCTCTCCTCCCTAGTTACTCCCTTCTTTCCCTTGTTTCAACTTTGTAGATTTCCCAAATAGTTTTTTACGTAATAGCTCTACAACCATGTAGCATTCACCATTTTTATAAAATCCTTTCTCTTTCAGTTAAAGAAAATAATTTTCAGTGATCTGCATTAGGATATGTGGTTTACTAACCTATTTTCATAGGATTGCATAGTGCGCTGGACTTAAATGTACATTATATGTGTACACTGGCTATTTCTGATTTGTGACATGTTCATATTGTTGTCTTTTCGTCTTAGGTAAATGGGCAGTGTGCTGGCCACACAGCTATGCAAGCTGCTAGTCAGAATGGACATGTTGACATTTTGAAGTTACTTTTGAAGCAAAATGTGGATGTAGAAGCAGAGGTAATTCAACTAAATTTGAATATTATCTTTGAGTAAAAATTAATGATCTAGTAATACTTTTTGTTTTATGGAATGTGTTTTTCTTTAATTATTGAAATTTAATTTTTGCCTAAGGTGTTTATTGTTTTTATTTATATGTAGCACAAATTATATATCTCAAATGGACAAAAAAATTAGTATCATTTACAGTATCTTAAAATAACTTGTCCTTGCATGGGAGCTTAATTTCCATTACTTTAAGGTCTATAAGACTTATCTAAGAAATTTCTGACTGCAGAAAATGAAGACTGCTTAAATCGAGTGGGGGTGAGGTGAGGAGGGGTTTTCTTAGTGATTGATTGCTATAACACTCTCCTTTTGGTGGCTGCGAGAGTTTCATATTTTCTTTAGATATCAATAGGCGCCAGAACTCTTGCAGGACAACTTTGATGCTGTAGGAATTCTGCCATTCTGCTAGCACTGACGTAGCTCTTGGGTCCAAACTCCACTATATTAACTTTATTCGTATTAATTTTTGTTACAAATCTTACAAAGTGGAGGAGGTGTGATTTTGGGTATTTGGGGTCCACATTGTATTTTAAGACTGTATATCTGGTTTTCATAAATGGTCCATGGTGGTATGTCATTTGAATTTGATTTACTTTTGCAGTAATTTTTAAGTTGCATACTTACTGGTTGTGAATTTAAGAACCCAATGTTGTGTTGTAAGTTTTTTTGGTATGAAAGATTTATGAGGGTATGGGAAGAGAGGGTGGAAGGGGGAGCTGATAGCATTGATGCCTGTATAACCCCACTTGAGGAGAGCGAACAACAGAACTGTATGTGAATGGATAGATTGGATGGTGTAAGATATGGCAAAATAAGGGTTTGGGTAGGGGGAGGGGAATAAAGGGGAGCTGGTATCAAGAAGAAAGAAAATGTTTTGAAACTGATTGTGGTCGCAATTGTACAATAATGCTTGATTTGATTGAACTATGTAATGTTAGGATAGCTGTAAGAGCTCCCAATGAAATGATTAAAAAAAAAAAAGATTCCCATATATACTTGAGTATAAGCCGAATTTTTCAGCACATTAAAAAAATCATTTTATTGGGGGCTCGTACACTCTTAGCATAATCCATACATCCATCCATTGTGTCAAGCACATTAGTACATTTGTTGCCATCATCATTCTCAAAACATTTGCTTTTTACTTGAGCCTTTGATACCAGCTCCTCTTTTTTCCCCCTCCCTCCCCACCCCCCCATGAACCCTTGATAATTTATAAATTATTATTATTTTGTCTTATCTTACCCTGTCCGACGTGTCCCTTCACCCCCTTAACTGTTGTCTATCCCCCAGGGAAGGAGTTATATGTAGATCCTTGTAATCAGTTCCCCCTTTCTACCCCACCTTCCCTGCACCCTCCCGGTATCGCCACTCTCACCACTGGTCCTGAAGGGATCATCTGTCCTGGATTCCCTGTATTTCCAGTTCCTATCTGTACCAGTGTATATTCTCTGGTCCAGCCGGACTTGCAAGGTAAAATTGGGACCATGATAGGGTGTGGGGGGGAAGGAATTTAAGAACTAGAGTAAAGTTGTATGTTTCATCAGGGCTATACTGCACCCTGACTGGCTTGTCTCCTCCCTGCGACCCTTCTGTAAGGGGATGTCCAGTTGCCTACAGATGGACTTTGGGTCTCCACTCTGCACTCTCCTTCATTTACAATGATATGATTTTTTGTTCTTTGATGCCTGATACTTGATCCCTTCGACACATCATGGTCACACAGGCTGGTGTGCTTCTTCCATGTGGGCTTTGTTGCTTCTGAGCTAGATGGCTGCTTGTTTATCTTCAAGCCTTTAAGTCCCCAGACGCTATATCTTTTGATAGCCGGGCACCATCAGCTTTCTTCACCACATTTGCTTATGTACACATTTGTCTTCAGTGATCATATTGGGAAGGTGGGCACACACTGATATGATTTTTTGTTCTTTGATCCCTTCTACACCTCGTGGTCAGACAGGCTGGTGTGCTTCTTCCATGTGGTCTTTGTTGCTTCTGAGCTAGATGGCTGCTTGTTTACCTGCAAGCCTTTAAGACCCCAGACACTCTATCTTTTGATAGCCAGGCACCATCAGCTTTCTTCACCACATTTGCTTATGCACACATATTTGTCTTCAATGATCGTGTCGGGTAGGTGAGCATCATGGAATGCCAATTTAATAGAACAAGTGTTCTTGCATTGAGTAAGTATTTGAGTGGAGGTCCAATGTCCATCTGCTCCCTTAATAATAAATGTATAAATATATGCACGTAGATCTATTTCCCCACCATCCTATATAAATATATTTACATATGTACATGCCTGTATTTAGACCTCTATAAATGCCCTTTGCCTCCTAGTTCTTTCCTCTATTTCCTTTAACTTTCCTGTTGTTCCACTGTCATGCTCAGCCTTCATTTGGGTTTCAGTAATTTCTCTTGGTTACATTGCCCTTGCTGAATCCCTACCAGGCCTCTCCCTCTTTGCCACTACTTTTGGATCACTTGTTGCTCCCTTTTCCCTGGCTTGGTCAACACCACCTCCTTTCCCTCGCCTCCCCTTCTCCCATGCCCCCCCACCCCCGCCCCTCCCTGAACCATTGTTCCTGTTGTTTTCTCTTCCATACTGTTCATCCAGCCTATCCTATCTAGATATATCTGTAGAGATAGTAATATGCATCAAAAAACAAGGCATAGCAAGACAAAGCAACAAAAGAGAACACAATGATGACAACAAAGAAAACCAATGACAAGAAAAGAATAAATTAATTTAAAATATTAATAATTTTAAAAAGGAAAGAAAAACCTGTATATAGATCAAGGTCTGATTTTTGACCTTCAGGCCTGCCCTCCAGTCAAGTCCAATGGAGTGCCACGCTCTGACCCCAAAGTCTATTCTTTGCATTCTCCCAGGAGCTCCCTGCTCTGCTCACCCTGTTGATCTGCTGCACACCCTTAGTGTTTTGCCTTGGTTTGGTGGGGTCATAGTAGGCCAATCCTGACACTGAATCTCCAGTGTTGTCCCCCGTAGGGCCATGTCCCCTCGTGTCTCATAGTGGGATCAGCCATATGGCCCTCTCTATGCATTGGCTGTTTGGAGCGGGGATATCGTCCTCCAGGCCTGGTGGGCCAGGATGTGCTCCACTCTCTCTTCCTCCCCATTCATTTGCTCTAGTGTGCTGTGATCAGACATGTCCCTCTCCCCTAGCTGCAGCTTCAGTGCGGTCCTCTAAAGTAAATTCTGGGGGGAGGGGCAGTTGTCCATGTAGCCCCTCCACTGGCTCCCCTCTCCATGCCAGCATGCTGCGTTTGCATTCCGGAACACCGGATTTAAGTCTGGTCCCTCTTTCCCTGTGGAGACACAAACAATACCCTCCCCTTGGGTGGGTCATTGCTCTATTCCCCCGCCACACATCTCTATCTTTTTTTTTCCTTTCCAACTCCCCCCCTCTCCCTTGTAGTTGGCTACCATATGTACCCCTGGATTTGGTCTGGCCCCCGCCATAGTACCTGGGCCTCACCCCTGTAGTATTTGTATACAGTAGCTCTTTCCCTGTGCCCCTTTTGCAGTTTTCTTTTTTTCAGTGGACTCATGTTGTACTTGTCCTTTTGTGCTTGGCTTACTTCACTTAGAATAATTTCCTCCAGTTCTTCCCATGAGGTGATATGCGTCCTGCGTTCATCATTACTTTTTAGCGATGCATAGTACTCCATTGTATGTATGTACCACAGTTTTTTAATCCATTCATCTTTTGATAGAAATATGGGTTGTTTCCATCTCCTTACAATTATGAACATTGGAGCACAGATGTCTGGCCCTGGTTTGTTTCTTGCCTCTTCTGGGTATATGCCCAGTAGGGGGATTGCTGGGTCATATGGTAGCTCAATTTCCATCTGTTTTAGAAATCGCCAAATCGATTTCCATAGTGGTTCAGCACGTTTTTTATGCCGTTTTTATGGTAAAATTAGGTGCCTCGGCTGATATTCAGGTTGGCTTATACTCAAGTATATACGGTAAATCAATTTTAGCATTTTGTAAATGGAAGGAACTTAGTTCATTTAATTTTTTTCATTTTGAATTTTGTTTAATTAATGAAATTTTAAAAATATTTTAATGTGACATGGGAGAAGAAAGTAGTGAAATTCCTTGAGTTGGATATCCCATTTTAATTTAATGAATCTATTGTGAAATGAATCATGATATAAAAAAAATCAGGAAACTAAACTTCAGTTACTAGGGCAAGAGTCTGAGAATCCAAATTTATTTTGCCTAATATTAAAAGAAGTATATTGATGTATTCATAATTAATCACTAAATTAGGCAAAATGGGTCTATTCATAAACGTGTCTAGAAACTCCCCCCCCCCCCAATTGAGCAAGTGTTAATGTCGTTTAGCAAAGAGTTAACACTGTGACACTGGTTTTCAAGAAAGAATTTCCTTTTCTGCATCATTAATTGAGTTCAACTACAAAACAAATGTACCAGTAGATAATAAAAACATGCTGAGGTTGGACGTGCCATGAAGCTTCATGTTTTTAAGTAATTTATCTTTTGGTTTGAAAAGTATGTTTGTTACTAGAGCAGTGAGGTACACATGTGCTTTCACCACACCGCACTGCACTGCACTGCATCACACCACATAACTGTGCCAATTCATCTTGTTGCGGGCTTTCTTCTGGCATTATCTCTGACAATGTTTCAAAGCTATCCCTGTGGTTTTCCATGGTTAATTCCTTTCAAGTAGGCAGCCGATTCCTTCTTCATAGTCTGCTCTTGGACTAGAAGCTATACTGAAACCATTTCACTTTGGGTGACCCTGCTGGTATGTGACATTCCAGTGACATAGCTTCCAGCATCCCAGCAGCACACAAGCCACCACAGTATGACAAACTGACAGACAAGTGGTAGTTAGCTTTAATATTTGGTGCTGAGAATAAAGATAGAAAACTGCTTTGAAATCAGTAGTTTATTTAAATGAACTGTTAGTTTTAGCATCAATTGTTAATGTTTTATCTTTGAAAAATACCTCTAGGTTGTGTAAGGTCCTATAGGCTCAGTTTGAGTCAGAATGTGAATCTATGGTAATAAGTTTATTGTTTATAATTGTCTAGATCATACATCTTCAAACTATGGTCCACGGGCCATGTGCGGGCTGCCCAGGACATTTATCCGGCCCCATTTTTGCCCCATCTGTTTTTTACTTCAAAATAAGATATGTGCAGTGTGCATAGGAATTTATTCATAGTTTTTAAAAAAACTATAGTCTGGCCCTCCAACAGGTCTGAGGGACAGTGAACTGGCCTCTTGTTTCAAAAGTTTGAGGACCCCTGGTCTAGATAATGAACCTTGATTGGCACAATAGTAAGAAATTAAATAATTTTTAAAGTGTTGGCTGCTATCCTAAAGGGTGGCGGCTTGAACCCACCAGCTGCTCCATGGGAGTAAGATGTGGCATTCTGCTTCCATAAAAGTTCAATAGCTCTGGAAAACCCTATGGGGGCAGTTCTCTTTTCCTGTAGGGTAGCAATGAGTAGGAGTCGACTGAACGGTAACAGGAATTTTTGTTTTGTTTTATAGTGTGCGTTTTTCAAACCTCTTGCAAAAAGCAGACAGTCCACCAGGAACTTGGGCCATAAGTTGAGAATCTCTTCTTTAGAGGAAGTCTTAGAACATAGTACTTCTGGGTGTCAAAATTTGAGATGTAGTATTAGACGATATCAGCCCAACAACCCACTGCTGTTGAGTTGATTCCAGCTCCTAGGGACCTTATGGGGCAGTAGAACTGTTCCTGAGGGGTTCCAGGGGTATCATCCATACAGAGGTAGATTGCCACATCTACCAGAAAGCAGTGGGGTGGTTTGAACCACCAATCTTGCTGTTAGCTCCAGAGGGCTTAGCCACCTTGCCCATCAGTATCTCCATTCCTTAGAATAAAACTGTAAGTATCCTTTAATACCCTTCTCCATTTGCATCTGGCAAGGTAATGAAAGTTCTTTTTGGTATGAGCTATACATGTTCTTATTTATGATGCAATTCAGTCCCCCCCTTTTATAAGGAGTTTCTTAAATACATGAAAATCCTATCTTAACAATGTAGCTATTGCGCTTTTCCTACCCTCTCATCTTTTTAGAAACATGCCTGTCACAGAAGGAGAGGGAAACCTTTCGATTCCTCTGATAGTTTTGAAATTCTGGAAGTACAGCTCTTGGCTATGTTTTTATATTTTGGGGTGTTTATAGAAATATATATGCCTGGCACTAAGGATAACCAGTTTTGATGTGCTGATTTTCTCCCTTCCTTTAGTCCTGAGATCACATTGTTTTTGGTTTTTTTAAAGCACTTACTTAATATTGGAGTATATTTTATGCCATTAAAAAGTCTGTGAAACTTCCTTGAATGGAGAAAATATTTATTTTATTTATTTAACCATTTTCCTAATATTGGCTTACCATCTTAGCTAATTATGAATATTGAAGGATTGGACCATTTGTTATTTTAAAAAAATCATTTTATTGGGGGCTTGTGCAACTTTTATCACATTCCACACATCCATCCATTGTATGTCAAGTACATTTGTACACTTGTTGCCCCCATCATTCTCAAAACATTTGCTTTCTATTTGAGCCCTTGGTATCAGCTCCTCATTTTTCCCCTCCCTCCCCGCTCCCCCCACTTGTTACATTTTGGTATAATATAATATATTGCTTCATGTTCATCAGTTATTTCTGTAGTCATCACTGTTTCCATCAGTTTCTAGATATTTGGTTAGCACCATTCAATGTTTCCTTTTCTTACTTTAGTTGATTCTTGGTGTAGATCTTCAAGCTTTTAGAACTTTTAATTATTTCTAAAATATTCACTAATTCAGATTTAAATGCTAACATTTAGGATAAAGATGGCGATAGAGCAGTTCACCATGCGGCTTTTGGAGATGAAGGTGCTGTTATAGAAGTACTGCACCGAGGCAGTGCTGATTTGAATGCTCGCAACAAGCGCAGACAGACGCCACTGCATATTGCTGTCAACAAAGGCCACCTTCAAGTTGTGAAGACTTTATTGGACTTTGGCTGTCATCCCAGTCTCCAGGTAAAACTTTGAAAGGAAGACATTTTTTTCTGATAGAGCTAGGATCATATTAAGGAGGGACACTAAGTTCTCATGCTAAGCTTTCTTTTGTTAACAATTCTTTTCTTGTACAGTCAGTGATGGTATAAGATACCAGAGATACGGAATGTAATAAAACTAGCAGATGATGCTTCTTTAAAAAGCCTCTTATTGGAAAGAGTCAGGTCAGGTTTAGACAGAGGGAAGGGGATGCTTCCTTACAGCAAGATCAGCTTATATGGGCTGATGAACCATTTTTAAAAATCATGGCAGTGAACTTTAGAAACTTGAAAAGGAAAAATGGACTACATTTCATAATGGTTACTTCAAAGCAATCTAAATTCTTTTTATTTTGCCCAGGGTGGCATAAATTGTTTATGGTTTACAAATCTACAAGTTGCTTGTTTAAACCCACCACGTAGCACCATGGAAGAAAGCCTTGGTAATCCATAAAGATCACAGCCCAAACCAGAAGTGAAAACCCTAGGGGGCTGTTCTACTCCATACACGGGGCCACAATGAGTTAGAATCTACTTGATGGATTTGGCTTACATTTGTGATCTTGGTCTAGTCATTAGCCTAGTCTTTGAAGATTTTCTGTGCTGTAAAATACAAGGGGGCTTCAAAAATTCCATGATCTTTTATTGCTATTTTCCAGGAATTTTTTGAGGCTATCTGGTAACTGGGTCTTAGGGGTATTTAATAGTAATATTGTTAGACCCACTGAGTCAATCAACAATTTATAACCCCATGTGACAGGAACTGCTTCACAGGGTTTTCTTGGTTGTAACCTTTACCACAAGTATGTTCTCAGGCCTTTTTCCTCAAATCTGCTGGGTAGATTTGAACTGCCAGTTTTTCAGCTTGCACTTGAGCACTTAACTGTTTCCACCACTAGGTCTCTTGATATTTTACCTAAGAAATGATTGTTCACATCGAAGTTTTAGCAACCAGATAAACTACACATAGCAGAGAAATGTAAGTTATTTCTATTATCTACTTAGTTTGGTTACTAAACAAAACATGTCTTTTGTGTACCTATCATTAAAATTTGGTATGTGTAGTTAATGATTACATCACAAAATCAAGGAAGCACACATAATTTGTCAGCCTCTGAGTCCCCTCCCCTTATTCTACCTTGTTCATTTTTAATAGGATAAACTTGAAATAGCATATACTTTTGAAATAAAAATGGCCCCTGAAATACAGTTTGAATTGTGAACAATAGTTTGCTTAAACTGGAAACTCAATAATTTTAAAAAATAAAGTTTGCATTTTAAGCAACTTGTAGCTTAAGTAATTCACAACAGAATTATTTGTTGATACTGGGCTGTGTGGGGTTGATAGATTTCTAAAGAAGTAATAAAGAAGGAAGAGCAAAGTCGCGCCAGTTAAGGGTTTGAGAAGAACTGAAAGATTGTTCATATAGATAGTTATTAGAGACAAATATTTCTGAGATATAGCCACTTTGGTACTGACAGGGTCTAAGTGGTGGTGGTAGAACTGGGTGGCCCAGAATTAGAGGATAGTAGGGATGGCAGTGATTTTAATCTGTTGTAAGCCCTACTCAATGCCACTGAGTCCATTTGGGCTCCTAGTGATCCTATATAGATTTTTCAGAGGTTGTGAATATTTATGGGAGCAAATAGCCTTATCTTTCTCCCATTTAGTGGTGGTGGGTTTAAACTGCTGGCCTTGGATTAATTATTACCTATGGGCATGGCTCAAGAGGTTGGGGGAAATGGGGAACTAACAACGAGTATGAGAAGAAAATGTGAAAATGATTGTGGTGTAACGATTGTATAACTCAATATGATGGAAAGATTAAATTGTATGATATGGAAAAAAGAAAGAACAAATTAGGGATATGTAGAAAGATATTCCAACTATTTTAAGAGCCTACCTCAAGTAGAAGATTGTTTAGTGTCCCATAGTATAGGAGGATAGAAGATAGACAGTTGGGTTGACCTTGAGTGAGGGTTATTTTATATGAGTGGATGAATATAATCACATCTCTGAGACTGACAGATGTTTTCTGTGAAGGGTCAGAAAATAGTTCAGTTTCTATCACATGTACTTTTGTAGAATGAAATTATAAATGCATGGTCGTAGCTGTGGTCCAGTAAACTTTATTTGTGGAAACAGGTGTTGGGCTATATTTAGTCTGTGGGCAATATATAGAGTTCACTAAACCTGGTATTTGCAACAGAGTAAATTATGTATCATTGTATTGAGAGTAGCATTTAGAAGCCTTGTAAATGAATGAGATCTCACATTACTCAAGTGGCTGCTAATGAAGACCATTTATGGCTTAATAAATTAATAAAAGCAGACAGCTTGAAATGTTAAGCTGAAACTCCTAAATTTTCTTTCACATTTGTTTTCATTTTGATCTATCCAGCCTCTCTCTTGCCCATTGAAAGCACCCAGATTAGTGGCTCTCAACCATGACTGCTCAGTATGGTCATCTGGGGAGCTTTGAAAAACTACAGATCAGTGGGTAGGAAAGAGGGAACCGATGACAAGGAACTATATGTGACCTCCTCCTTGGGGGACAGACAACAGAAAAGTGGGTGAAGGGAGACGTCGGACAGGGCAAGATATGACAAAATACCCATTTATAAACTATCAGTGGCTCATGAGGGAGGGGGGAGCGGGGAGGGAGGGGGAAATGAGGACCTAATGTCGGGGGTTTAAGTGGAGAGAAAATGTTTTGAGAATGATGTACAAATGCGCTTTACACAATTGATGTGTGTATGGACTGCGATAACAGTTGTATGAGCCCTAATAAAATGTTTAAAAACAAAAAGAAGGACCAGCCAAAAAAAAAAGAAAGAAAAACTACAGATGCCTGGTCCTCACCCCCCCCCCCAGAGATTCTGCTCCACATGGTCTGAGTGTGACCTGAGCATCAAGGATTTTTAAGAGCTCCCTAGTTTATTCTATTGTGTAACTACTGACTGAATTTGTTGTTTGCGACCCCAGACTAATGTAAGTTTGAATGGAATTTTAGGGTCCCACAAATAATAATGTGAATATATCAGACAATTTTAGACTCATTAATTTTTTAGGCAGCTTTTTCACCTCATCAATTTGTATTACTAGCTGAATTATATTTAAATTATTTTTTTTTCTTTGGAAAACTACAGCATATTTTTTTCTGCTTTCCTCCTAGATTGAGTGATTTTTATAGAATAGGTTCCCAAACTTATTTATTCAGAAAAAATACTCAGCGCCCACTGCAATTAAAAACTTTTGTACTAAGGGAGAACCGAATACAAGTGTCTACATGTGACTTCCTCCCTGGGGGATGGACAACAGAAGAGTGGGTGAAGGGAGACGTTGGACAGGGCAAGATATGACAAAATAACAATTTACAAATTATCAAGGGTTCATGAAGGAGAGGGGAGTGGGGAGGGAGGGAGAAATATGAGGAGCTAATGCCAGGGGCTTAGGTGGAGAGCAAATGGTTTGAGAATGGTGAATGTACAAATGTACTTTACACAATTGATGTATGTATGGATTATGATAAGAGGTGTATGAGCCCCTAATAAAATGATTTAAAAATTAAAACAAAAAAAATGATAGAAAAAACCCCAAGTTTTGTACTGTAGTTAGCTCATAATTCAGGATTAAGTGTAGGTGTCAGCCTTTGCAGCTCCCTGGGATCATTCTAACACCCCACTCCAGGGAAAGGTACTGAATGTACTCGAGTATAAGCCGACCTGAATATCAGCCGACGCACCTAATTTTACCACAAAATGTGCTGAAAAACTTGGCTTATTCACGAGTGTATACGTACTACGGTTTTACCCACTTTGGGAAAGCTTATTTTCTTGCCTCCATTTTCTTTAATTTAACACAGACATGTTCCAGTATTGATGACTGTTTGGTAAGGCCTCTATTCCTTTTTCTTTGTTTAGTAGTTCAGAGTTAGTATTAATGGCGTATGTAGTGATTAAAGAAGAACTAATGGAAGCTTTTTTTGTACTTGGGGACAAACAGGACTCTGAAGGTGACACCCCTCTTCATGATGCAATAAGTAAGAAACGGGACGATATTCTGGCCGTTCTTCTAGAAGCTGGCGCAGACGTCACCATCACAAACAATAATGGCTTTAATGCCCTACACCACGCTGCCCTCAGAGGAAATCCCAGGTAAAATCCCAGACCTCATGCTTTACTATGCTATGTGCAATGTAAAAATAGTTTGCTACTTCTGACACTGCTGAGGAAATAATTTTGGCTTGCTTAAATATTATAAATCACCATAAGTATGTCTTTATTCGATAGGTTAATTTCCACATGATGGGGATTTGGGTTATTAAATGAGTGCAGGTATTAAGTAATTTTAAAATGCTAAGTGTAGATATAAAATATCAGGAAGACTGGCTTTAAAGCTGAAGATTAAAGTACATACCATTTTGAGTTATATATAAAACTTTTTCATTTGGTGTCATTATTTGTGAGGCTGTGTGTTACTTATTAAGTACAAATGTATTTCATTTCTGTTGTTGAGGATTTACAGAGCAGAACATACACCAATTAAAAAGTTTCTACATGTTCAGTCATTCAGCTTTGGTTACACTTTTCAACCTGTGCAGCCAGCTTTCCTTTCCTTCTCTGACTTGTCCCTGTGTCTTTAACACAGTCTCACTGTCCCCTAAGCTTCTCATGTAACCTTTGAAGTTGTGGTGGTCATTTTGACCCCATGCAGATAGTACTTGAAAATGCACAGTGCCCAAGGAAGACATGCTCTACCAATTAAGGTAAATTACTGTCTGATTTAAAGAAAACTTCAGGGGATCTTTTATTTTAAGCTTACAGATTATCTCCGCAATTATTTCAGGTAGAGGTTTCTCAGGAAGGGTGGTCGTTAACCCCATGTCATTCATTTGCTTGGTAATGAGATTTAAAACTCTGGGTTAGCATTGTTGTTTTTAGGGTGCCATTGAGCCCCTTTTGACTCATAGCAGCTCAGTGTGTGCACAGCATACTAGCCGCACAGGGCTTTGAAGGCTGTGACCTGTCTCCTGTGGTGTGTCAGGGTGGCTTTGAAACACCAGTCTTTTTCTGGTATCCAGTTGCCTAACTGTTTGCACCACCAACGTAATTACTTCTTAATAATTCAGTTAGCTATGAATTTTTAGCATAGCTGTTACTCAATTTTTTAAACGAGATAGATGTCCTTTAAAAAAAGTGTTTGCTAAGAAAAACTTTTCGGAGAGTCATCAGGGGTCTGAAAAGTGCCAGGAAAGGTGAATGCTTGTTGCTTTATTTAACCCTGACATGTCCATGGAAACATTTTTTGAAACAACTTTCCCTTTAGAATCATTTTGAGGAAATTGTGAATCAGGTATCCTCTGGTTATACTTGAGCCAGTTTGATCTAAGAAAATGTTCACTTGGAACTTCATTTCAACAATTTAATCTGCACAGAGCCAATAATCTGATTCCTTGTGATATTTTTGTGTCATACACTTCCTTCTAGTTTTTTACTCTTTGTTAGTTTGGGGGGGAATCATCATTCCAGGGGAACACAATAAACAGAAGAATTACTATTGTTTTTTTTCTCCCATTCAGTAATGTAAGATGGACTATGCAAGGTAGAATTGGGATCATGATAGTGGGGGAGGGGGGTGAGGAAGCATTTAGGAACTAGAGGAAAGTTGTATTTTTCATCATTGCTACATCGCATCCTGACTGGCTTGTCTCCTCCCCGAGACACTTCTATCAGGGGATCTCCAGTGGCCTACAGATGGGCTTTGGGTATCCACCCCACACTACCCCCCTCATTCACTATGGTAAGATTTTTGGTTCTGATGATACCTGATCCCTTCGACACCTCGTGATCGTACAGGCTGGTGTGCTTCTTTGTTGTGGGCTTTGTTGCTTCTGAGCTAGATGACCGGTTGTTTACCTTCAAGCCTTTAAGACCCCAGATGCTATATCTTTTGATAGCTAGGCACCATCAGCTTTCTTCACCACATTTACTTATTCACCCGCTTTGTCTTCAGCGGTTGTGTCGGAAAGGTGAGCATCATAGAATGCCAATTTAATAGAAGAAAGTATTCTCGCATTAAGGGAGTACTTGAGTGGAGGCCCAATGTCCATCTGCTACCTAAATACTAAACCTATAAATATATGCACATACTCTATTTCCCCATCCTCATATATAAATATATTTGCATGTGTACATGTCTTTATCTAGACCTCTATAAATGCCCTTTGCCTCCTAGTTCTTTCCTCTATTTCCTTTGACTTTCCTCCTGTCCCACTGTCATGCTCAGTCCCACCAGGGTTTCAGCAATTCCTCTTGGTTACATTACCCTTGATCATGCCCTATCAGGCCTCCCACACCCTCCTCACCACTGATTTGGATCACTTGTTGTTCCCCTATCCCATGTCCCCCTGAACTGTCAGTCCCCTTATTTCCTCCTCCAGATTGTTCATCCAGCCTATCTTATTTAGACAGACCTGCAGAGATAATAACATGCACAAAAACAAGACAGAGCAAAACCAAGCAACAATATACAACAAAACAACAACAACAACAAACCAATGACAAAAAAACAAAGTACAACAAGAAAGGAAAGCTTGTAGTTAAAGGACTGTTTGTTGGCCTTTAGGAGTGTTTTCCAGTCCAGTCTGTTGGGGCACCATGCCTTGGCCCCAAAGTCCACCTTCAGCATTCCCTGGGGACCTCCCCATTCCATTCCCTTGCTGTTCTGTTGCACCCCCTTAGTGTTTTGCCTCGGTGTGGCGGGATCAGATAGGGTGCAAATCCCACACTGTGTCACCGGTGTTGTACCTTGCAAGTCTGGCTAGACGAGAATGTACACTGGTACAGATAGAAACTGGAAACACAGGGAATCCAGGGTGGATGATCCCTTCAGGACCAGTGGTGTGCGTGGCGATACTGGGAGGGTAGAGGAAGGGTGGGTTGGAAAGGGGGAACCAATGACAAGGATCTACATGTGAACTCTTCCCTGGGGGACTGACAACAGAAAAGTGGGTGAAGGAAGACGTCGGACAGGGCAAGATACGTCAAAATAATAATTTTTAAGTTATCAAGGGTTCATGAGGGAGGGAAGAGGTAGGGAGGGAGGAGGAAAAAAGAGGACCTGATGCCAGGGGCTTAGGTGGAGAGCAGATGTTTTGAGAATGAGGACAATGAACGTACAGATGTGCTTTACACAATTGATGTATGTATGTATTGCAATAAGAGTTGGATGATCCCCTAATAAAACTTTTTTTTTAAAAAGGATAAAAAGGACCTATGACCACACTTTAGATCACGGATGGATTTATGTATTTTAATTTGCAATTATTTGAACACTTAGTAGTTTGGCATTTTGAAGGAGATAAAATATTTTCTCTTCCCTTCAAATAAAAGATGATATATAGTACCACATGCTGGACTTGTACTAAGTGCTTTATCTCATTTAATCCTGACAACATTTTTGGGTGTTTGTAGTCTCATTTTAATGATCAAGAATATTAAGCAAATAAAGAGAATAATTTACTTCACCAGCATCACCTAGGTAATTGGTGATGTAACCGGGCCTTAAACAAAGGTTGACTTTAGAACCTGAACTCTTAACCATTGTGTATTCCTTTTTTCTGTATGTGAGCCCATGTGTGAGACAGCAGTGCAACACACACACACACACACACACACACACTTGAATGAGTTGTCTCAGAATATACCAATACTTTGTCCCTTTTGCTGAGGCCCCAGGATCGTAAAATTACTTTTGCTCTCACTCTCAACTTCCAGTTCAAATTGTTTTTTCTATTTTATCTGTTTCTATCCTTTCTACTCTCATTGTTCGTGTCCTAATAAACTACTCAGCGTTTTACTTAGGTTATGATAATATTTTTCTAATTGTTCTGTCTGCTTTCAGTCTTTCATACATTTACCCAAATAATATTATGAAAGCATAGATCTGGTGGCTCCACTTTTAAAAAAATGTTAAATCTTCCTCTGCTTTCTATAGAGTAAAATCTATATTCTTTGGCTTAGCATTTGAACCCATTTCTGATGTGTGTCTCAAGTCCCTTTTTCTAACAGTTTTAATTTGAGAGCTAGGACAGTATTACACAAGATAAGAGATTCTATAATTAATTAATTAAAACATGGATTCTGTAAAGAAACTGCCAGGAGTTGAAGCAGAGCAATGATTTTAGACTAGAATAATCAAAAAGAAATTAAGTTACAATATTATAAAATTTAAGGTATAATGTGAACATTGAAGCTAGGAAACTTAACTAGCTTCTAAATATGTTGAATGATGTCATTTTAAATGGGCATATGTCTAGTATGTTCTGTACTAGTAGGCCTGTTTCCTCAATTCTTGCATAAATCTACAAGTGACTTCTTCAGCAAGATCACTGGTGACTGGTGAGAAAAAGATAGGACAGACACGTACATTCTATAACAAAGTAATGCTGTAATTTAAACTACAGCTACCTCTTCATTCTTAATACATTTGATACAATTGTGAGTGTGAATTGCCTGTTAGAGTATCAGTTTTAATTGGACACGGAGGATTATCTGCTACTGCTTCTGTGTGTTACCTGCTAGTTTGATACTATGAAGGAGACAAATAATAATGTAATTCCAATTTGGGTTATCTAAAATTTTTGTTTTCACATTGTTTTATCTTAAAAGCTACCTTGTGTTTTCTGTACTAACCAGTGATCTAGTGATATCAACAAGAAAAAGAACAACTTTTTAAAAATTTTTTAAAAAATCTTGAATATAACACTTAGTTTGGAGAAACAAATTTTGGTACCTTGTGAACTTAATTACTGTTTTGGGATAAAATATAAATATAATTAAAACATATTACTATTTCTACCTTTGTTATAAACATTTTATAATTTATGTAACAAGGAATCTATTACTTGGAATTGTAATTCTTTAACTTGTTCTTTATGACTTGTTTTCTCATGTAGATATACTTTTGTTTATTTAAATTCATTTATTTAATGTAGTTGTTGCACTACATGTATAGCTCATTGTATTTGCAATCACTTGCATTTTAGTAAGTATAATTCTTAGCTATGGTTTAGTTTTTCTTCTTTTATTAGAATGTGTACATTTATTTCTACAAGACAATTTTTTTATCCTTGTGGGTATATAGTCCCCGCAGA